GATAGAATACAACAGAAATAGAGAATCAACCTAGGTTAAAAAACTTCAACTTGAATTTAATTTTGATGTGTAACATGTACACACCCACTAGATCCATATGTGGTCCACTATCAACTGCATTGTAATTCCATGACACATTGGACTTCCAGTTGGTCCAACCATCATGATGTTTGGTGGTTAACACATAGTATCTGCAATCAGTGCACAATTCATAAATTATTATTTTAAGTATCTCAAAACTTTGAGTATGTGATTACGGTTTCTTTTGCTGTGACAACATTTTTTCCCACTGGAAATTTTTACCTTTTTGAAGGCAAATGCAATATAAGTCTGCTAAAAATTAATCATTGCTGAATCTCAGAAAAACAGGAAACCTGAAATAATATTTCTAGGGTGTTATTATTGACCTGAAAAGGACGAGCCAATCAGACGTGAGAAAGCTAAACAAAGGATGCACAATGATACACAGTTGTATCGCATTATGAGCGAGTCTCACCCCTGCGGACTAAAGACATTTCTCACGGCTGACTCGCTAATCTTGAAAAAGTGGTCTTAAAAACATGAGTAATAATGACAATTCAATTGAATTTTCACAAAAATATTTAATTGGCGTCTTTTAAATAGCTTCGGGAGTGCTGAAAGGTCGTCGGAACATCTTTGGACATTTTCAGCAACGTTTGGAAGTCTTCTCAGAAGTCGCTGGGACGATCATGAGGACGTTCCATTTAATTCCAATCCCCCTATGGATGAGTATCCTTGGCAGACAACTAGTGGGAAACCATTTTCAAAAGGACCAACAAAATATGAGGAGGTGGGGCGGGGGGGTGGGGGGAGGGAAGGTTTATTCAAAGGGTTCCAACAAAAAAGTGAGGTGGTACATACATACATATATGTTTTTTTATTTGGAGTGTTATACAATAAATAGTGTATCAACTACTTCCAAATAACTAGAATTACAAACAACAAAAATTCGTAACCATATATGACTAATAACTTATTAATTAATTTAAGTCCTAGAGTATTTACTTTTTACCGTCTTCCCCTTTCCTTTTTTCAAAGCACTCGAATACATGTCTTGCCGTTAGTTTTGTATTTTAGCATTTCCACTTGGGGGGCTTATTAGAAACATGAATATTTTGTTAGGTGACATTCTGCTTATTTTTATTCTGTATTCTTTTTCCAAATAATTTAGTAGCGAACACCTTTTTTCCTGGTAAGCAGGGCATATATTTAGAAAATGGTATTCGTCCTCCATTTCTATTTTACAGATTGGGCAAATTCTTTCTGCAGGTTTCTTAAATGGTCTCGAATAACGTCCTGTCTCTATGGTTAATTTGTGTTTGCTAGGTTACAGTTTTGTTAGGTGGTAGGAATCCGCTCATCCACAGGATTGGAGGGGGTGGGGGTGAGGGGGGTTCGGAAAACAATTGAACAAGGCTAAAATCTCACGCATTTGACTCAAAAAAAAAAGGCGGCAGGTGTACAGTTGTACTTTAAGTTAACAGATTCTGAACGTAAGCTACCTTAATCCACTATTTTATAGCATTACCTCGCACCAGAACTGTCGACAAGTTTTGCAAATTCATTTGGGTCGAAAAATTCTGCAGTGAACATTGGTGCAAAATCAGCATAAGAAAATTCCGGGGGATAATTCTTCTCCATATAATTGACGTATTTAGCTGACTTCTCGCCTTTCCAGTGATACCAAAACCACTCACTGCCAAAACTTGGAACTGAATATAGACCCCAATGCATCATAATTCCAAACTTGGCTTCGTCATACCACGAAGGCAGAGGCCTGCGATCTAAACTGTTCCAAGTTGGCTCATATCTTTGAAATTCTTCAGATACCACGTTGGTTGCAAAAGTTAGAAGCACCGAGAATAAGAAAAACCATTGCAAGTGGTCACCTTTCATGTTTACCAACTGAAGAAGGCAAGGCACCCTAGGGTATTTGCTGTTTTGAGTGTCACATGTGTATCATAAGGCTCAGGAAGACCAAAGGGCCTCCTGGGATATGGTAGGCGGAATGGTGCAAAATTCAACAAATCAAAATCACTACCAACATCAACAACCAATCTACACTTCAACATTTTTTTTCTACATCAACAATAAAATCCGTCCAACTTCAACGATTAACGTAATAATCAACATTCGAAATATGCTTAATTCAACAACTAAACAAAATCAACATCAACAAAAATTCCTCTTTTCTTCAACGACGATTTGCCTCACAACCAACATCGTAAATCGACTTCAAGTTCAACAACAAAAAACACGTTCAACAATTTGGGGACGAACGACTTTCTATGGTCGAGGGAGGTTGGGACCCAGAAATTCTAATCACAGGGTATGCTGGGAAATAGAGACACGAGGAAACAAACCAGGACGTGAACAATCGATGAAAATCGATGATCGGAAAATCAATCGAACAATCGATGACAATCGATTAATAACTGTTGATTAGCATCGATTGGCGTCGGCCAATCGATGATCAATCGATAATCACACTTGGGTGGTCGCGAACTTCATCGATTGCCATCGATTGGCACTAAATTCATGTCTCCGTATCTTTAGGTATCGCGGGAGTGTACGCAGATCGTATATTATTTTAACCTCGAAAAAAGTAACTTTTTTAAAACCTAAATGACAGCTCTCTCGGCCGTCATGTAAATGCTGCGTCACGNAACAACCAATCTACACTTCAAAATTTTTTTTCTACATCAACAATAAAATCCGTCCAACTTCAACGATTAACGTAATAATCAACATTCGAAATATGCTTAATTCAACAACTAAACAAAATCAACATCAACAAAAATTCCTCTTTTCTTCAACGACGATTTGCCTCACAACCAACATCGTAAATCGACTTCAAGTTCAACAACAAAAAACACGTTCAACAATTTGGGGACGAACGACTTTCTATGGTCGAGGGAGGTTGGGACCTAGAAATTCTAATCACAGGGTATGCTGGGAAATAGAGACACGAGGAAACAAACCAGGACGTGAACAATCGATGAAAATCGATGATCGGAAAATCAATCGATCAATCGATGACAATCGATTAATAACTGTTGATTAGCATCGATTGGCGTCGGCCAATCGATGATCAATCGATAATCACACTTGGGTGGTCGCGAACTTCATCGATTGCCATCGATTGGCACTAAATTCATGTCTCCGTATCTTTAGGTATCGCGGGAGTGTACGCAGATCGTATATTATTTTAACCTCGAAAAAAGTAACTTTTTTTAAACCTAAATGACAGCTCTCTCGGCCGTCATGTAAATGCTGCGTCACGCAAAAGCTTAGAAATTCAAGCGTACTCTATTAAAAACCCAAGAACCTTTTTGAAGCGAAAATTTGTTTGAACATTTGTTTTCAGCTGCTCTAATACACCATGAAAGTAAAATCTCAGTAGGATAGATAGTTTTGTAGTTTGAATTTTAGTGACGTCATGTGAAAACCAACAATAGACGTTTTAAGTTAAGTTTTAAAATTAAGTAATAAAATTAATCACAAAAATTTTCGTCATCGATTCTCCATCGATTATCAATATCAATCGATTAATTGATATCGATTGTCATCGATTGTTATCGATTACCATCGATTATCGATTTCATCGATTGTTCACGTCCTGAACAAACATGGCGGCCGGGGTTACCAACCACGGGTGGAACTCCTTTTTTACAGATTTGGAACAGTTAGTCTTAGATTATGAGCAATTGAAAGCGTCAAACTTTACTACAAACGTTTCCTTAGACGAAACTCTTCTGGAGAGGTTTGAAAATGCTGTTCAAGCTTTAGGAAATGTGCTTCCTCATATCCAACATTTACATTCATTTGCCACATTGTCCGAAATTGCACACAATCTCCGGCTAATGTACTGGGACTACATTCGTCACAGTGATTTTCCTTGTCGGTCGAGATGACGGCCCAAAAGAGCTCCTTTGTGCAGTTTGGCCCGCAAAAACATTATTCAATTCAGGTACAGAACTCGAAGCCGCCGAATGAATTAAATTTCTAGTTCTGGAGACAAGATTTAGCTCTAACTCCTCTCGGACACATCGCCTAATTCTCTCCTCTTCATCCGCCATGTTTGTTTCCTCGTGCTCGTGTCTCTATTTCCCAGCATACCCTGTGATTAGAATTTCTGGGTCCCAACCTCCCTCGACCATAGAAAGTCGTTCGTCCCCAAATTGTTGAACGTGTTTTTTGTTGTTGAACTTGAAGTCGATTTACGATGTTGGTTGTGAGGCAAATCGTCGTTGAAGAAAAGAGGAATTTTTGTTGATGTTGATTTTGTTTAGTTGTTGAATTAAGCATATTTCGAATGTTGATTATTACGTTAATCGTTGAAGTTGGACGGATTTTATTGTTGATGTAGAAAAAAAATGTTGAAGTGTAGATTGGTTGTTGATGTTGGTAGTGATTTTGATTTGTTGAGTTTTGCACCATTCCGCCTACCATACTGGGAAGGGTTATACTCTTAAAAGGATGATGGGAGGGATGGGAAGAAAAAGTCAGAATTTACTTGCGTCGGTAACTGCCATTCGAGATTGTATTACTTAGCTAGTTGTCAAAACAAGGAAAAAACTATTTTTATCCTTCCTCATTGTGAATTCCCTAATATTTGGGAAAAAAGATTCTGCATTTCACACAGTTTCGCGTAACACTCTCACCCCGTCCGCCCTAGGGATGTTTGGACATTTCCCGTTGTGTGACAAAAACGTCATCTTTTTATAATCTGAACGTCGTACTGTGTGACAGTGCTGATTTGTTATGTAAGATTTCTAGCATTTTATAGAAATTTTTGTACAATTTCCAAGCTAAAACGTGCATTTTTGTCTTCAGAAGACTTGCTTAATTTGGTCTTTTAGCCGTAAATGGGGAAAGGCTTGAAGAAAATGGCTTCCTGGCCGTGAAGTCTTCGGTGGTCCTGCCGTTATGAACACTTCCCTGAATCCTGTTGTTGATGGTGCAAAAAACTTGTGAAAATGTGTGAAAGCGATGATGAAAGCGAGAGGTGGTGTGCTGTGTGCAATGACATATCTTCTGGTTATCATTATGGAGCAAACACTTGTGAAGGATGCAAAAGTTTCTTTAAAAGAACAGTTCAGAAAGATCTACATGAAAAATACAAGTGTAGTGGAAAAGATGACTGTCCAGTGGATAGAAAGTCACGAGCCAAATGTCCATCCTGTAGACTGAACAAGTGTTTTGCGGTGGGAATGGTATTAGAAGGTATTAGCTCTTGTCATATTCTTTGAAAGAAGTATTATCATACATTACGTCATTCTGTGGGGGTAGTATGAGGGTGACAAAGAAAGAAGCTAAAAATCACTAATAATCACTGATTGAAAAAATTAATTAAGCAGTATTAACTTAACAGCAACAGAATGCCTAATCAGTAGCCTGCAATTACATCCACCTCTCATCACTTCATGCCACTTGCAGCCGGAGCCACAGACATAACTTAATCTTGGTTAGTGATGTCTGTGAAGCAGCAGCGTGATCCTTGTTTTGGGTCCAGAATGCACTCAGTAAATTACCAGAAGTATGTTGTGAATTTCCCTTCAACCTCTGATTGGCAAATTTACAATAGCTTTTTTTAACAGGTCAATCATAGCACAAAATCCTTACACAGGTGAGAACCCAGACAAGGATTTCAGCGCTGTTTTGCAGACGGATTTAACAAGAGTTTATTGCATGAGGCCCTCCTAGGGAAGTTACACATGTCCCTAGTCTGAATTTCAAAACCTGTCATTTTGTGTTCATATTGAGCAGGAAAGCCATGTCGCTCTTCATATTTCACTATTGTATAAATTTTTACTTTTCTCTGTCGCTGTCGCAGGTTCAACCTATCTTTGTATTGTTTGTTGCCACTTCATCTGTCTTCATGTTCCAAGGCCATATTGCTTATTGCCATTTTACCCTAACAAGGCCTCTTTAGCTTTGTCTGTGGTACAGACCACTACTTGGGGTGTTTCGCGAGAGAGATGTCTGCAATTCAGCCTCAAAAATTCCATATACAGATAACGTAAATTTATCCCGAACCTGGTCAACATACAGTAATTGGTAGACATAGAAATTGTATTGTGGCTATGTTTACAAATGACAGATAAGAGGCTACAAAGATCAAATATAAATGTCCATAGTGGCAGGGAGCAATGAGTGGTGTCTGTATTCACAGGCTACTAAATACAAATGTACATAAAGCACTGGTTTACTACTTATTGCTTATCATGAAATAGATGCCGAGTGTGTTTGCCAATCAGAGCAGAGACTTTGTGATGATATATCGGTTGCTTTCTGCTGACAATTAATTGGCGCGGGTGAAAGGGCTTAATCTAATTTGGTCACTTTTCAAAAGATCACGGGGCAAAAGGTGGGGTTGAGATGCAGGACTAAATATTACTGACAGTGCTGTATATTCCTGGGTTTGTTATTCTTCGTTTCCACTCCCAGGATTACCAGAAATAAACAATTTATTTAAGAAAATGCCAAGTTTCTTTTGTACAACACTAAAAACAGTTTTTACGGATCAATATCTTCTTTTTCTAAAGAGTTTGAAAGATGTTTTTAGGAATCTTATTGTTTTTGCAGCAGTGAAGCACTGTATTCGCTCTTTATAAACTTGATATTTATCCTTAAATTATGCCTGTAGGAAGATTTTCATTCCATTGTTATTTTTTTGTTTGTCTTTTGTTGTAAAATGATATCTACACTTTTTACCAGGGGTGAGAAAAGAAAAAAAGCGTGGTGGACGATCATTTTATCCACTCAAAAAGAAGAAGTGCGACCAGGAGACTCAAACAGGAAGTGAAACTTCTTCAAATGAGGAGACGAACAAAAGCAATATCAAATATTGCTCTGATCTCATTGAAAACTTAATGAGCAGCAGTCCTTGTATTGTACCTCCAGGAGAAACAGCAAGTGACTCTAGTGACTCTGTAAATGAAAGCCGCGAAGGAGTTCTTACTAGACTTTCAAACGCAATCACTAAAGAACTGTTCTTGATCGTGGAATGGGCCAAATTGGTTCCTGGATTCAATGAGCTTTGTCGGCAGGATCAGATTGCTCTTTTAACAGCTGGTGGCATGGAACTGATTGTTTTTAGGGTCATCTATAGGTCGATTCCATACAAGGAGCAAGTGTATATGAACACAACATCACTACTTACGAAAGAAGAATGTTACAATGTACTGAACAAAGAAATTGTTGACATGATTTTAGATGTTGTGGAGAGACTACGGCCTCTCTCTATAGATGATGTGGAATTTGCTTGTTTGAAGACCATCCTTCTAATTGATCCAGGTATTGAAGGCATTCTTGGCTTAATTTTTATGTACTTGTACCTTGATAGTATTCAATTAAGTGTAAGTATTATAATTTAGGCAAGGAAAGGGTAATTTAAATCAATATTTAAGTAGCCTGAATTTCATCTGGTTACTTCAATTCATTATTACTCTCTCAAACACGTCTGAATCAACCAGCTGTTAATGCCGTCCAGTGATGTCACTATATAAAACTTGTTTGCTTTAATTCATGCAAAACGTAAAACACAATTGGCAAACCAAGAAATATCATTTGGAAATGTGTACATGATACAGAACAGCTGACAGAATTGCTTTACTCTTTTGGATCGTAATTCATGTTTAACGTTCAAACTATCAACTGCGTGCAGTACTCTGAAGTAGTTGTAATTCAGACTCATTCACAATCACGCAATGAAATAAATACGCATACAAAACACTTATGGAAGTTCAAAAACGCAACAATTTCCTTTAATTGAAAAGAAGCTTAACAAATAAAAAACAAAACAAGGAAACAAGAAAGAAAAGCTAACAGAATCACTACACTTGACAGTGATAATATGAAGAAGGTCAAATGACAACATGACATTGGTCTCAGAAACTTCGCATAAACAAAATCACTGCGGAAACCACAATGCACCTCTAAATGAAAAACCTACTGACTCTCCGCAATGATTCTTCATTTGCAGTTCAATTCAGTTTTGAAGACAATGAAGGGCAGTTTTGCTGTTTACAATAAAGATTATCGAAATGTTTGAACTCCACTCAAGCATGCCACCGATGCGATCCACTGAATATCAACCAACAATCCCACTAAAATTTTTTCCTAATTATACATAATTATGAGAATATTTAGACAATTAACCAATCAAAATCACTACCTGGTTTTTGGGTAGTAGTGACATCACTGAACAGCATTAATGGCTGGTCGATTCAGATGTTGCTGAGAGGAGAAAACAACTCAAAGCAATCGGATGAAATTCAGGCTAATATTTAAGGTAAAAATCAAATTTTGAATAAAAAGAAAATGCATAGGAAAATTATGATAAACAAAAAAATGGCTGGGAAAATATGCATTGTATTAGTCTGTTGACCTGTCATCAGGGATGGATTCTCAAAGTAAAATTATTGTAGAGTATTCTTTAGACCTTACATTACTGCTGATCTTTTTAGGTCAGTATATGTAATTGTTGTTAAAAATTATAATTATTTCAACTTTTGATAGAGACACCAGGACTCTCTGACAAGACAGCTGTTTCAACGCTTCAAGGCGCTTATCTTGCAGCTCTCAAGGAGCATATGACTGCAACATACCCAGACCAAAGTGGACGTTTTGCAAAGCTACTGCTACGGCTTCCAGCATTGCGAGATGTTTGCACCAAGGGATACCAGTATTTTTTACTGGTGAGAGCCAAGTTGGAAGGCGAGGTACCCATGTCCACTCTACTGCAGGAGATGTTTGAATCAGCAAGGTTTTAGTTGTTACAAAATAGTCAAAGAATACTCATAAATTTAACTAACTTTTATAGTTACCCGGTATTATCAAAACTAGAAGATACCGGTAATTATTAACAGGACTTATGGATGTTTCTTTTTATTTGAATTTAAATTACCAAAAAATTACCAGTATGTTATTGTAGTAAATAAAGACTTGTTCTATTGTTTGGTTCCAAAAATTATCCATACCAGCTGACCACTGGAAATTCTAAGCCAGAGGGTAGGAGCCCATTCTGGAATTTTCAGAGGGTTGGGAGGTGGGGTGGGGTCAAACCAAGGAACCCTCTTTGGAGGAGTGTGGTTAATTTTTGGAACAGAACATTTTATACGAGAGTTTTAGCATCAATGATAGAGGCAAGTTAAGACAAAGGTTTCACTGTACTGTAGGCATAGACCACAAATTTGAGAATTCAACAACTCATGTTCAGTGTCACTGTGAATGGGTACTTTAATTCTGAAATTTATCGTCTTTGTGGTCGGGATTGTATTATTGTTGGTGGCAATAAACCATTATATCAATGTTATATGCCCATGTCTTCCAAATTTGGTCAGCCCCAGCAGATTATGAAGAATTGGCAACAAGTAGTAACCTGTGTATGTCCAGGGCTGTAAAAGCAGAAACTGTCAAAAAAACATCAATGTCTATTTCTTTTAGATATTTGCCCTTTTTTCAACATGTAAACAGACAAAGTTGACTTAGACAGATTTAATCTTCAAACTGATATTCATCTCCATGTATGGTAATAATGCTGGTTTTGGCTGCTTTCTTTTTAATATTATTATTCACAAGACAAGGTGTAATAATTATTCTTTATGCCAAACCGGAATAGAATAGGATTAGGTTTTTCTTTCCTAGACATTGTAAATCAGAATAACATGTTGTTTGTAATTTGAATAAGTTGTAAATATCTAAGACAAATAAAACGAGCTTTGTAAATGAAACAAAAGGATTACTCACAGTAAATCTGACATAATACATTTAGTATTGTACAATAAAGTTTACTACCATGAACAGTATGCTGACTTGTTTGTTTCTGAGTTTGGTCAAGATGTACAAAGCAACGTCTCTCCTCTGTTGATCCCTTGGAACAAGAGACTGAGAATCAATGATGACAGAAGTCTAAAACAAGTAAAACGGATTAAAATACAGTTGAACCTCCTGTAAGCAACCACATAAAATGCATAGACATAGTGGTCGCTTACAAGAATCGAACCACAGGGAGCATAGTTCACACAGTGAACATAGAGATCAGAGAATATGTCAAGTGGTCCCTTTCAAGAGGTAAAAAAAAACTGGAAAATCATTAAACTTTCAGGCCCAAAAAGTGGTCGCGGTTGCTTACACTAGGAGGTGGTCGTTTACTAGAGACTCCAACTGTAAGTCTTTGACTGGGAAAGTTTTGGTGTTTTGGATAGGCAGTCGCTTGTGGGAGTTGCTCGCTTACTAGAGGTGGTCGCACATGGAGGTTCTACTGTATACACCTTTCTCCTCTGTGCAGGCTTGAAATGGCTTGTCATTTCATTTCGCGCAGTGGAATTCCAGCTATTTCCACAGAGGAGTGTGAACATACATCACTATTTTCTTCCAACCTTGCAATTGGTTAACCAAAAAAATCAGGGGCCAAAACAATAAAGTCACCCATAACACTTGAATTTAACCGAATGAGATAGTTCTGCTATTACTCTTAGTATTATTTTCATCTGCTTAGGTGTGGCCAGGAGACAAAATATGCAAAGTCACTCTGTAATTTTTGGTGCCTCACACTGGAGGCTTACCGGTATTAAAGGAGGGTGGGAGCTTATTTTGAGGCGGGAGATACTAAACAGAGAAAATACCGTGTTTAGGGACCCCCTGATCCTTGTCATCTGGTGGATTCTTTAACTTGGCATCAAAATTTCTACCCTGCAAATACAGCCGTATCTCTTCGCCCCTCGCCACTAGGAATGTTGGCCTGACTGAGTGGCGGTGTAATTTTAGAACTTGCGTCAGTTACCTAGCCTGTGTACAGACGCGGGCTCCCCTCTCTCCACGATTTTGCTAAGAGGGTAGCTGGCGGCTGTACATAGGCTACACTGAGTTACCAGCAGGTGATAGTTTAGACCCACATAGCACACAACAAACAGCAAAAGTCATCGGTAGAAGGACCTGTCATCATGATCATAAAAAGTGGAATATTTCGGAAATTTTGTGTCAGCTATCACAAAGAGCCAAACAGTCTGACTTCCGTAAATCCGAAACTGTATTGTTTTCTTGGATCCTTCCTTACAATCTAGCGATAATATGGCGCGATATCAGGCGTATTTGTTTGAATTTTCCCTTTCCTTTAATACCACACAAGAAAATCGATACAACACCCTATAAAAAATGACTTTATTTTCAAAATATTCTCGTATACGTTGAGACTTATCTCATATGTTTCAATATTTTCTCCATGGTTGGAACTTTTCAATGCATATCACTGGCACACTGTGATAATAAAAGCATAGAACTGGAACAAAACGTCTCTTACTTAGCAAATCGTTTCAAAAAAAAAATTATGCTATCGTCGAAATAGGTCGGGGAACTGATGAGCTTAATATCTTGTTCTTACTTAAGGTGCGTTCGATAGCTAGATCATATTTCGGAAGAAAAATACGCAAAGTTTTGCAACAAATCTCTTGCTTGTACCGTGATTTTTGGACCACTTACACGCTACATCCGGAATATTTCATTTCAAGCAGATTTGCAATGCAATGAACGCCAAAATAAATGATTTCTATTGTTAATTCCATTTATTTTTAATTCGGATTACAGTTAATCGAACACGCCCTATACTTCACGATAGGAACCTTTGCCGGGAGAAATACTTTGATACTTGATAAGCTTACTGCATGTTACTGACTAATTTTCGTGTTGCTGGAAAGAAAAGAAGCGTAAGTTTAGTTTTTAGTGAGTCCCCCCAAACACAGAGTTCGATTAGTCGTTACTTGACAAGTACATGCAAAAGAAACGAACTAAGTACTGCTGACGTGTTCCTGACTTTCCCAGATTTTCACTTCACAGGCAAGTCACCATCTTCACTGGTTAATAGCAAAAAAACTCGCCGAGAAAGCTCGGGTCCAATTCTCCGACTGTTGGCTAACACTCCAGCTCCACGACGAACCTGAAAGCCGAAATAAAAAGCCCTTAATGTTCTGTTTTGATTGCTACTCGAATACTTTGAAAAGGTAACGCATTATTTCATCAGTTAAGAAAATGGTCTTCATCTTAGAACAACCTCTCTAGGTAGGTTATATTGTCACCGCTCAACCTGAGATCAGGCTCTATTTTCGTTTCTCTTTGTGAAATTCCAGTAGGCAACTACACCCTTGAGCTACCTGTAAACGGACGCAACAACTCCCAACATTGTTGGCCCAACTATGATGGGAGTTGTTGCGTCCGTTTACACGTAACTAAAACTTTGACCGGTTTCAAACTTTGCGCAGCGACTCCCAACAAGATGCAACAGGGTATGCAAACGGACGCAACATGTATCATCCAACGATGTTGGAAATTGTTGGCCAAGAATGTTGCGTCCGTTTGCACGGGGCTTTAGAGAGTATACATAAAAGCTGCTAAAATGGTCCTGATCTTGGAGAGCGGACTCATTTCCCGAACAGCATCAGGAAATTGAGCCTACCCCTCTCAGCTGGTTTTGTTGGTTTGTTTTCACTGAGCTTGGAGGAGAAAAAAGTACTCGCTCAATAACCGAAACAGGTATCAGTCTTGGCGAGTGCCTCATAATTTTCCCACGTAAATAGCTCGAGGCAGTCCAAACTGGACATTTATAGGTTCTATTTTCGCTGCTCCCTTACGAATGGGCGCAAACGCTTAATCGGTAACCCCGATAACTGAAATCACCAAGATTCTCTTGTGACTGCGAGACAAATCCATCACAAAAACATGAAAGATGCATTAACTATTTTTGTAAGAAGGTTATATTGCTGGCCACTAACCAATATATCCTGAAGAAGTTTGGTCGATTCTACTCTGCTGTCGCATCTTCTATAAGCCTACAAAACAAAGATTCATATAATATATCAACACGAGGAAGAGGGTTTCAAGGGATATCCAGACAGCGAGAAGTGGGTTAAAAGAAAGGACACCTACAATGAAGGTATCTCAAATATTAATCAGTGATTATAGAAGCGACTATCAGAAATTTTTCAGACCCGCCTTCTAAAATTCCCCGCAGGCGCCGCAATTCCCCCTTCCTTCGATTCTCTTCATCTTTCTAAAGGTCGCCATTCCTTTAATTCCACTTAATGAACGAGTTTCAGAACCGACAAGTGAATACAACTCACTTACACGTATGCAGTTACAGTAGAAACTATGCGCATGATCTCACATTACCTGTAGTAGACTTTGAGGTGTTGGATAAACGGCGACAATCGCGGCAGCCATATCTGCGGAGACGTTTCTGAACTGCTGAAACTGTTGCAGCCATACTTTCTTTAAACCCTCACCTTCCTTTGACACCTGGGAATTTTTAAATNCGAGTTTCAGAACCGACAAGTGAATACAACTCACTTACACGTATGCAGTTACAGTAGAAACTATGCGCATGATCTCACATTACCTGTAGTAGACTTTGAGGTGTTGGATAAACGGCGACAATCGCGGCAGCCATATCTGCGGAGACGTTTCTGAACTGCTGAAACTGTTGCAGCCATACTTTCTTTAAACCCTCACCTTCCTTTGACACCTGGGAATTTTTAAATTAAAAAGCTTAGTTTGGAATCGTACGTTGAAATTTTGAAAAGAAACTTTCTGTATTTTTTCTTTCCGTGAAACCCGCTGTAAAACCACAGAAGGAGGGTAGGGTATGACATTAACTTCCTACGCATACTAAACCCTTTTACTTACAGTAGTTCTCTCGCTGTCATTTACTTGCTTCAAACTTAAGAAATGTTTTAAAATCGGAGGATATGGCGGGCGATTCGTATAGGGCGAATGCGACGGT